GTCTCTGGAGATGATTCTGTACAGAGAGTGTACTTCCATGAGCCCTGGGCTAAGGTGAAAGGCTCTGGGGGTGGCAGTTCCAGGGGCAGAGGCTGGCAGTCTGGGCTGTGCCAGGCTGAGGAGGAGTTTGAGAGGCCTCTGGCTTGAGCTTCTGCTGCTCTCTCCTTGAAAGGCCCCTCCCTGTGCCAATTGCCCATATCCTTCCGTGGGAGGCTGATGCATCAGAGAAGCCCAATGTGGCATTTCAGGACAGATCCAGTCCCTGCAGCAATCCCTGTTGTTTAAGCCGCCTCCTGTTCCCCTTCCTGGCCCCAAAATCCTAATGCCACCCCACTGACTGGAGGGAAAGAAACTCCAGGGCCTGGGGACTTTCCTAGCAAGCGCAGCATTGCCCCCACCCAAATTTGTCAGAGAGGCAGCAGGAACACTGCTGGTGGGAAGGGCTGGGCAGTGCTGGGCTCTGGCTCAGCATCCAGAGCCGACTCCCAGCCTGCTGGAGCAGCTCCCAGCTGTGGCAGCCACTGGCACTGGGGAGCTCAGGGTTAAAATGCTGCTGGCTCCAGTGTCAGTGGGAAAACAGAACAAGCAATTGCATGACTGAGCTGCACATCTTGCATTTCTTTGGGCCAAAACTAAAAGGCTTTCCAGCCCTTGTGGTCTTTACAGACTTGTGAAAAGATAGGAAAAGGCTCTGTCACTCAGTCAAGTGTTGTGGCAGCCAAAGAAATTCTCTCTCCAGCACATAAGCCACGCATGGCAGAGTTTCTGGCCGTGCTTCTCCTTTGGGAAGGAGCCAGTGTTGCTGCTCCTTGGAGGGGCTGAGCTGCAGGGCCAGCAGCTGGGGATGTCCCTGCCTGTGCCCTGGGGTTTGGAGGCCTCATTCTGCTCCCTCCCCAGTCACAGCAGACCCACACAGCTCCCACACACCCAATGGGGACAGTGAGCCCTGAGTGGCTGAGGCACAGAGGGGTGGCCCACGCCAGACAAAACCCTCTTTCCTGGTGACAGGGACTTCGAGAGTTGCTGTGTGCAAGGCACTGAGTTCGTTTTCACTTTTAATGAAGCCATTTTTCACCTTGAAGGCTCTGTTACAAAGGACAAAAGCACATTGCTGTGTTCAAGCATGGTGGGATCATGGCTCAAAACTGGCTCAGTGCAGAGGTGGCTCCCACAGCTCCCATGGGAGTGAGAGCAGGAGAGAGGCAGAGCCGGAATGTGGCAGCAACTGAGGCCGCACACCACCTACAGTGGCTATTTGAAAAAGCTATCTTTCCTGTTAATGAAATAGTTAAATATAAATGTGTTCTGGCTTTATTAATAAACATTTTTTTCTTCTGCAGAAGTCCTTTTCCAAACACTAGTAAAGCATTTTGTGTAACCAGATTCACAGCGTCTTCAGATGCAGAACTGAGTTTATTTTTGGATACCTCTCTAGGGTAAATCCGATTTCCATTGAAGCTTCATGCCAGCTTAGTTTTCACTCAGGGAGTTTACAGCAACTGGCCAGTGGCTTTGTAAACAAACACATCGCTCTGCCTTTTAGCATGCAGTGTTCTGGCTCTCTTGGCATTTCTTCTGAATAATCTTCAATTATCAGTCCCCTTCTACGTACAAATTAGCTACAAAGGAGATGCTGCATTTAATTTCAGCCTTTTGATTGCTGTTTACCATCCCTGAAGGGATAAAATATCCCTTCTATACCTCATCAGTGGTCCTGGGGCAAGCATGGCCATGGGGAGCAGGAGGGACAATTCAGAGTTAATTTTCTCTTGGTTCTCTTTCTGATTTTACAATTTTGAACCTCTAGTAACTGGCATTTGTTTTTTAAGGAGCATTACTAAGTCTATCGTACTTTTGAGGCTTTTGACATCTGGAAATAGGTTTTATTAGGGTAGAATATGGGGTTTGGAAGGTCCAAGATAGTTTGTTTGGTTCCTTTTACATTACCTATAATAATCTCCCACCTAAACCCAGCAATATTCTAGTAATCTCACAAATGGATGGACCTTTCTCCTTGCTATTGCATTTCCTTAACATGAAACAATAAAGAAGGGCCACTCTGGTTTAGATATACCCCCCTCAATTTCATTTATGAAAGCATTTGAGAAGCATGTGCACAGATCATATATGTACTCACACTCAGGGAGGCTAAAATTGACAGGGTGGCCCCTAACTACCAGTAACAAATCCCAAACACATTTCACATACTTGGTCATTTAAGCTTGTGAAAGGCAAACAAGCCATGAGCTGGGCAGCTCACTCCACCTAAAGGAAGCTGGAGGCAGAAACCACAGCTCCTCCTTATTAAAATAAAGGAATAGCCAGAGTTAAAAAAAATAATAAAAATGAATTCATTAATGACAACAACAACAATAATGATAATAATAGAAAAAGCCAATAATAAAATGTTCAAGCCTTTAAGACTGATGCTCTAGGACCACTGGCTGCAACGGTGATGCTGCAAGAACAAAGAGAAGCCCCCACTCTCACCCTGAGATTCCTGATGGAAGGAAACTTCAGAGCTGGGGCAGTGCAAGGGTAACTCTGCTCCTCTGCTCTGCCAGGTGGCAGTGACAGGGCCCAGTGTGGGACAGGGATGGAGTAGGGAGGGTCACAGATGATCTGTGTGACACAATGCAGGGAAGCTGCCTTGGCATGTCCAGGGATCTGTTTGACCCCCCAGGGATCTGTTTGATCCCTATCCTGGCCCCACTGGTGTCACCTGAACTGGCAAATGCACATGGGGAGGGGAGGGGAGGAGCATTTTCACTGGGAATTTCTGCCACTGGTGAGCAGTGTTGAGATCGAAGAGTAACTGAAGCCTTCAAAAAGGGAAAATATCCTGGGATGGGAGCTGAAGGGACATGCTGCTTATTCCTGATCCTGCTTTGCCAGTTTATGAGATGCTGGCTGTTGACATTTAATTGAGTTTCATCAAGATGAAGGAATAAAATGCGACTCATGTAAGAACAGAACTATTTGGATAGTAAAACAATAAAAGAGACTTTGAGGGATCCCTTGAGACTTGCAGGTCTTGCCAGGTCCTAATTTCCATAAGGAAATTCTGGATTGCCACACTGAATCCAACTCGCAGAGCGTCCTGAGGTCCCGGCGGAGCTCCAGGATGACCAACTCTGCCCTTGGCTCGTCCCCGTGTGCCCTTTCCCTTGGGTGGCTGCAAGACGTCCGCCATGGGCCCTCAGCTCCCTCAGACCCCTCATGGCACCTCGTGTGGCTTCACAAGAGCCTGGGACGGCTGCTCGGGGCTTGGCAGAGAAACCACGCTGTGCTCAGGTGAAGCTGGGCTCCTGCAGTGCCCCAGAGGGAATTTCCTCCCTGAAAAACCCAGGACAGGCCCAGGGCTGCTGACGGCTGAGGGAGGAGGCAGAGCCAGGGCAGAGCAGGGCCTGGCTGCTGCCATTGCAGCACCTGGCGCTAAAACCAGCTTTGGGCTCTGCCGGCCCTGCACGGGCTGGAAGGATTCACGGGCAGTGCTGAGAGCCATGTTCAGTGCTGGAACCCTTCCCTGGCCCTGCTGGCTCCCCTCGAGGCAGCACCAAGGCTCCCGGAGCTCAGGCACAGCCCCAGCCTCCCTCGGCGAGGACGAGTACTGACAGCAGCCTCACAACCCACCCCAGGATGTGAGGACAACTGGCCAAAATCAACACAGAAACATTCAGCCAGGTTTTTTTTTTAAATACATTTATTAACCAATGTTAACACATTAAATGACTCTATATATTGCTAGTCAGAGCAGCTTACAAAATGCCAGAATGCATCATAAACTGGACAGCCACAATGAATAATTACAATGTGCATAGTGGCTAAGCTCAACACTTTAATATAGCTTTATGATTTGCAGAAAAATTAATTTTAAATCATGGTTCCTAAAACAATCAATTGTAATTTTACCTAAAACTTATACAAAACCAGGTCACAATCTTTTTTTTTGTTTTCTTTTTTTTTTTTTTTTCTTTAAAACACACAGTTTTCACGCTGTAGTAACTTGGAAATGTGCAACCGTGTCAACAGAGACAAAAAAGCCAAAGTAACACGAATCTTACTTTCATGCAGCTATCAGTTAAATATTACATATTCTGGAATGATTTTACACCAAAAATATTTCCACAATACTTGCTTTCATAGGGGTGGATCGAAGTTTTGGAACTCGTAAAGTAATCGAACAAGATTGATTTTTAGTTGTGAAGTGTTTTACAGTCACAACACAGAGGCGACAAAAGTTAATTACACATTTATCAGGCAATAATGCAGCTGTGGTAATACAAGTTACCATCTACTTACTATTTTTTCCAATCAACTTACCACTTAATTTCTGCAACATATTGGGCATTATTTGGCGGTATCTAGTCAATTAACTTATATCACCACTGTAAGTAAAAAAGGTCAGAATTTCAGTGGTAGTTCACAGAAGTCTTAGTTATATTTTTGTCTTTACAATGACCCTGACAAATCCTAGAGAAAACTTTTTAAAAGGCTTTCCTCCTGATTCTTCAGCTTCCATCGTTCCATCATGTAATTGCTTTCAATAAATATCAAAGATCTAAATAAATATTTACAAATTATCCCTCTAACTTCTCAAAAAATAGCTGGATGATTAATGGGCATATGACTTAGTCTAAGACCAATCTTTGAAAGAAACTAAAATGTGGAGACACTTTAAAAGAAAAGCTATTTAAGTAAGCTTTACATCTATTTAAAAAATTGTCTCTGAACATGGATGCAATTCATATATCTATATATAAAACAAACAAAAAGAAAATCATTTTTCAACTATCGATCCATTCCTATTGGTAATGCTTCTTAATCCAGACATTCCGCAAAATACAGACTTTTTACAAATCACGGCATCTTTAATACAAGAAAATTAACATGCATTATTCTTCATTCTGAGTACAGTGATGGAGCTCATTATTAGGCAATGACCCATTACTACAAACATAACGGCTTCTGTGAAACTTAAGTGCTTTTTCTCCTTTTATTATCAGTTACAACGGACTAGGTGACACCAGATCAAAGGTGGTCAAATGACATTGAATTGGGAGGCTGAAGGGGGTCGCAATAAAGTAATTGTATGCCTCGAAATTCCAAGTATGAATAAAGGTAGTTGGGTTTTTTGTTTGTCTGCTGTTTTTTTGTTTTTGGCTTTTCTTATTCTTGTTATAAGCACTCATGTTAGAACAAAGACGAAATGTGCAAACTTCAAAATTTAAATATTCATTTTTCTCTAAGATCCAGCTCAGTAAAAGATTACCCCAGTTCCCTGTGATTTTAAACTACAAGATCAAAGCTAATATTTTGTTATAAAAGTTATATATTGAAAAGAAATAATGAAAATAAAACACAGTTGGGAAATATTTAAGAAAAAATATGCAGGACTAGCACCTGCTGTGTCAACCCTGTTCCCTAAATTCAATCATGTACCCACTGGTATAACCAATAGATAATGCCTTTAAACAGTAAAATTAAGCTGAACAAAACCAGCTCAACAAGGTTAAGAAATAAATGTTACATCAAGGTAGTATGCTTTGTTTTTCTGAAACAGTTCTGTACTTCTTACACTCAGAAGTAGTTTTTAAATGTTTTTTAAACAGGTTAAACTTTTGTTAAACTTGCATCATTTTTTCTGTTTTTAGATCTGCTGTTTTTAAAGATTAAAATCTCTGTAAAACCTAAAAATGTCTTAAAATTTGCTGAAAACGCAACAAATCCTCTAGTTTAAAATTATTTGAAATAACCTGCTCCAACAGATACTCAATTAATTTTGCCGACAAAATTTTGGAGGAGCATTTTTAACAGAAGACTGAAATAACTGTGCAAAATTTCTTCTAAGAAAAGTGTTTAAAGGCTGGTGCAAAATGGGAAGCAAATTCTAAACAATTTTGGCTTTTTTTTTTTCTTTTCTTTTTTTGGAAACAAAAACCGCTCTGTCTGAGAATAGCAATCATTGGGGTGGTGCTCTAGGGGAGGAGTAACTCTTTCATCTTTTCCTGCGGCAGGTGCGTTTGTGTTCCGCGTGCCAGTGCTCCTGCTGACACTTGATGGAGCAGTAGGAAGTGTTCCAGCAGCAGTGGTACATGGCCTCCTCTTCACAGTTGTAGCACTGGGGAGAACAAATAAAGATGGGATTACCCCCCTGGCAGGATCCCTCCTCACCCCTGCTCACACCAGCACGTGCAGAGTAATGCTCCTCTTATTTATGCTCGGGGGCATCCAGGCATTTTTCACACATGTTGAGTGAAGCAGCAATCTTCAGCAAACCCACACAATGCTTTCCTATTTTCCAGAGTCTGGATTATTGCTTTTCAAAAAAATCATCTCTCACTTAAGAAAACTCATCTCTCAGAATGGTGGAGTGACATTTTTCAGGCACACAGCGCAGGAACCATCTTTTACCCTACATTTGTGTAATAGCACCCTGATCTATGTCTTAAAAGCTACAATAAATCAACAGGCGCTGCTGGCACAACAGCCTCTGCACAGGCTTTAAAATCAGTATTTCTGAGGTTTCTTTATAAGCCTGACTTGTCCAGAGGTTGCTGGGGAAGATCCTTTTGGTTTAGAAAATCTCAAAAGTCATAACAATGGCATCGCAGGAGACAACAATTATTGGTTTGTTGTAGCCCATCTAGGGTCAGCCTGTAAGGATGCTGCTGTCACCAGGGTTTGTTGACTGGCAGCCAGCACTGCCACCTCCTGAAGGGAAAACTTTGTGCTCCATCAATTTTACTGAGCAGAACAAAAAAGTGGTTTTTCCTCCAAGCCTTAGATAAACCCAAGAAGGCCTGTCATACACAGGTTGCCTACCTGGGCTCTTGCCCTTTGTCGTGCCTGGAGCACTGCACAAAGCTCCTGAAATACAGATGCTGCACAGCCCATGATGTATACAGAATTATTTGGTTCTGGAGAAAGCTGCAGCAAAGATGATTTCTACCTTGGAACACAGAGAACAACCCCAGCTTTCTGACAGCTGGAAGAGCGACTTGGAAAAAAACCCTGTGGCCTCTGAGGAGCTAAGGAAGGGAATGCAACATGCTGGTCAGCACCACGGGTGGCCATCAAGGAGGCACAGCACCCACACACAGCGTGCCCTGTCTTCAGGCAGGTTATGCCCCTTTAAGGCAGTCCTGCAGAAGTGTAAACTGTTATTTTGACAAAACTCCATAAAGTAGGGTGGCATTGCTGCTTAAGGTACCATTTATATTTCTGCATCCTGGAGAGTAAGCTTCTAATGGCCTCAAATTTGTCTTTCTGAATTTGGTCTGCTCAAAATCAGGAGGCATCTTTAGGAATCCAGTCTGAAATGCTTATTACATGATGGGGAGCAGAGGGAGGGATATCACACAGTCTGCTCAGGCTGCTATCAAACCACAGAATAACATACAATTTACTTTTTATGTCCTGTCTAGCTACAGCTTTGCTAATAAAAGAGAGAATTACAAAGGAAACAAACCCAACTGCCTCGAAAGAGAAACCACAACAACCCACACTAGTGAGAGACAGATCCAAGAAAGCCAACATTTACACTGGCTAAACTGATAACCATTTATTTACATCAGCAATAAAGGAACTGCCCTAGCTGTGCGAGAGGGGAACCTCTCCATTTTCCTTTCCTAATTTAGCTCCTGGGAAGTTTATTTGTAAAAATGTCTGCAAACAAGTGCCCTCCTGAGAGCTGTTTTCCTGGTTTTTCATGTTGCTGGCTGCCCACAAGCCTGTGGGAGCCATTAAGGATCATCTGCTGGAAAGGTGCAGGGAACAGCTGTGGCTCTCCATTATGTACAGCATGGGCCTCAGCCCAGAGACCAAATTCACATCTGCTGGCTTGGAGAGATCAAAAAATGCTATGACAGGAGAGGACAACTGATCTGTGGGTCCCGCACTTCCCTTTACATATGCTGGCCATAAGTGTGGGATGTAAATCTCCACTTACAAAAGGAAAATAGTGTCATCTGTGCTGGTACCAGCACATGTGGCACTGGAGGCAAAATGCCAGCTGGCCTCAGGCCTCCTCTTTTCTTTGTATTCTCCTCTTTCTAAATGTTATCAATCACTTGGGGTTTTGTTTCAGACAGTACACATCAGACAATGCTCATTCACTTAAAGACCACCTGTTGCAAGTTAAAATAAATATATGTGTAAATAAATTTGAATGAGAAAAAAGGTTAAAAGCTGTCTATGGAAACAACCTGTGCACCAATTTAAATAAGTCTTATACACAAATAAAAGAACTTGGAGAAACTAAAACAGAAACATTATCAAGACCAACACTCCAGCCTGAACCTTGGAGGCCATGGAGCTGCATAATCTCATTATTGTTACTGCTGCCTTTACACTTCTTCTTTTTGTTTGCTATTTACTTGAGGTATCTGTATTAAACCAAAATTTTCTGAAAGTATAAAAATGAAATTGGACTAAGCCAATTGTGACCAGCTAGAGAAAGAAGAACCGTTATCCTTTAACTATGCATTAGTCTTCTGAGGGCTGGAAGCACATCTCCTGTCCCTGTACACCACCAGCAAAATGATCCCTTTGTCCCAACTGGACTTGTTTTTTAGGTATGAGAAAAAGACAAATACAGTGTGAATAATAGCAGCTGTATTCCCAAGCATAGACATCAGCATTACACAAAACCTGAGGTCTCTGCTCCTAATTAAAAAGCAAAGCCACCAAAACTCATTAGTATGTGTGTTAATTACATGAGATTTTGGTAAGGAGGTATCATTATAATAGCAGCATACAAGTGCAGTACTACACACCAGGGACTGTCATTAGTACCACTGAAGGAAGAATCACTGGGGACTTGTGTAATTGGACCAAGTCCAGCTGCCTGGGGCTGTGTGTTGGCAGGCAGATCCATCAGCTTGAATGTAGAGGTGTTTATCCTGACCCTCCTTGTCCTGCCACATGCAAACCAGCTGTCTGCATGATGCCTTCATTTAGGGTGGTGATTGACAGATAGTTTGAGGCCACAGAACTAGGCAAGATTGTCAAATACTCTATCTTTTCATTGTTTTGCTCAGTAGAGAAGCTTTATGCCCTCATTAATAAATTCAGTGACGTGGTACCAGGACATTTTTTGATTAGTCTGAAGGATATAGTAAAGGCACATTGGAGCAGATAACTTCAGTCAGTTTCTTTTGAAAATTCAACCTCCAAAACCACCAAAAAGCAGCTAGAGCTGAGAGTCCAGCCTCACAATGATGTTATTGTGCCCGAGTTACTGCATGTCAGCTGAATGGTGACAATGGTTCACATATGTGCTCTTCACTTCTGACAGAACAGAGCTAATTTGACATATTTTATAGTGGGCAAAGGCAATTCCATTTCCCTCTCCAGTGCCACAGACAAGCACATGCACACAGCAGCTGGTGACACACTGAACACAGGAACTCGTTCAAGTCAGTCAAAATTAACTTCTCTGGTCTGCAGAGACAGGTAGACAGGGAGAAATTCTCTTATTGACAGAGACCCAAGCACTGCACCATCCTAACACCCACAGTAAAACCTCTGTGAGGAACAGAATTAAAGACTATAGGAGCTATGGAATTTGAAGTAATTGTTCTCTTTCCAAAAACTAAACTCAAAACTGTGATAATCAGTGACCAACTGCCTGAGTATTTTTTCCACTCTTCTCCAAAGCAGAATTTTCCCTGCAGGGACCATTGTTTCATGTAAGCACAGGAAGTAATGAGGCTGAGCAGCAGCAAAACAGCCCTTTATAGCAGAAAGCTGTAAAAAACAAATGGGGCTGCAGGGGGGTGGCAGGACTGGCTGTCCCTTGGCTTGTGCCATCTCCTGGAGGCTCCTGCTCCTTTCCAGCCTCACCAGTACTACAATCCTGTGCCCATCCCTCTGTGTGTTACAGACAGGTGTCACAGTGCTGTGTAACTTCCTCAGTGATGGCTTTTGCTCCCCTCTTCTGTGAAAGTTAATATAGCAGAGTTTGTGCGTGTGCCAGGTCCCAGATCCTGAGCAGAGGAATTTCCACCTGCACTCTGCTCCTGGCAAGCAGCACAGTTTATGGTTCTTGCAGTGTTTGGCTAGGTGCTGTACAGCCATGTGGAAGGACACACTCCAGCCTGAGAAAACACCAGCCACAGTCCAAATAAAACCAGGGAAAAGTTGGTGGTATGTAACAGAACAGTAAGTTAGAATGTCTATTTTCACATTTCTAGAGGGCACATCAACATGATTTTTGCAGCTGATGCTGCAGATTTCCACTTAAGGACCAAACAAGAGAGGAATACATTGCAGAATGCTGTGTTTTAATTAGAAAGGAAAATAAAAGAGCTGTAGAAAAAGCAAGGAGAGGAAAAGGCCAAAAGGATATCACTAATATTATTAGCAGGGGAATCCAAATTGATGCAGCCAGGTATTGTACCCTCTGAGGTCTCAAGATCAAAGGAGTGTGAATATAATGCAAAGTATGTTTATATGGAGTAAAACTGCATTTAGGAAAAAATAGTTTTGATACTAAGATCTGATTGGGCTCGAGTTGCTGTTAGCACTAAGAAATTAAGATGGAAAGAAATCAAAACAACAAGTTTAAATTTGGAGAAGATTTGAAACAGCAATATGAAGGAAAAAGCCTTAATGCTGAAAGACCAGTGAAAGAGCAGTGCAGTTAAAAGCAAGAAAGCAATCCCCTTCAATTGCCTGCAGGATGCATTATACATTTTCACTTACTCTCTTGTGATAAATTCTTGACACTTACCCACTGCTTCTTCTTGGTCTGGGAAATCAGTTGCTTGTGCTGACCTGCTAGTTTCTTAATTTCTTCTAAAAATTCTTCTTTGCACTTCTCCTTTACTTGCTTACATTTTCTGTCCATCTCTCCTTGTGCGTTGGCCACAGCTTTGTTTACAGCCTGCCTTTTCTCTTCTTCCATCTCTGTACGCAGCTGCCAAAGACAGTCAGCAAAACAAGTCAAGGCACAGATATTGGAATTAAAACCGTCCTATTTAAACCTCTACTCTTTAAACCTCTATTATTGATGCAGGTGGAGGTCACCTAATTAGAGATTTCTTCTATTTAGGAAATAAAAATTACTCAATTAGAGATATAACAAAATCAGATTTAATCAAAATAAGAATGTCACTGTATTTCTACTCTGCTAGGCATCTACAACAACAGCTAAATAAGTTCTATGCATATTTGCATGTAAGTTTATAAATTTATGAATTCATCTTTAAAAAAGATTTTGTCTTTTCCAAATCTACAACTGCATATAAATCTACAGCAAGTGCACAATGGAAAATACAAAATAGAGCACCTCTGAGTTCATTAAGAGGTACCTTTTAGTATTCACTGTCTGTGAGGTTCCTCTGCACCTGCTCAGATATCTAAATATTGTGTGTCTTAATCCTACAGGATTAACACTTGAACTCCCTAGGTTCATTTCACAGTCCTTCATCCAGAAGGAAATTCATCTTATCTTAAGACAGGTACTTAAGTGAGGTCAGACAAATCATCCTCCAAATTGCCCTACTCTCTCTAGCCAAAGGTGACCAGGTCAAGCTGAGAAGTTGAATTTTAAACAGGTTATTATTAGATAAGAAAATTCAAACAAATTTCAGTGACCCTGTTTGATCTTTAGGTCAGAAGATGGACAAAAGAAGAATTATTTATGACTAGCAGTTAAACAATGACATTGTTTAGAATCACAGTTACCAATTGAGAGAAAGGCTTTGGAAACAGATACTCCTGAATGAACAATTAGTCTCAGTTTTGGATCACAAACTGATTTCACTGGACAAGAATCAAAAAAGCCAAGAGTTTTCTGTTTAAAGTAGGTTTGTTGGTATAGAAATGGGCTAAAAAAGCAATAATGGAGACTATTTTTATGTGGTCTCTTTGGAAAACATTTTTTATTCATTTTGGTAAGAGTGGTTGTTACAAAAATAGAAAAGAATGTGAAGAAATCCCCAAAATTGCCTCTCCTCAATCCAGGGTAGGTGATGTTTAACAAGCATTACCTTTTCCACTGCCTCTCGCACAACTCTCTCAGTTTCTCTTTTGTGATCAGCTTTCATCCTGTCCTTGAAATCATTAAAGATTTTGGTGTATTTGTCATGGCACATGTTCTGACACACTCCATCATTACTGGTCTGGGTGCTCCGAGGCACCATTTTTGGAGAAGAGGCACTTAACTTCTTGGTCTGAGTTGCGACTGAAACTTTTTCAATGGGCTGAGGCATTGTGGGAATTTCCTGGCTTGAACTTACTGCTTCAGTTTCAGGTTCTGGCTCCTGCAGAGAAAGAACAAACTTGTAAATCAGATATCAAAATAGAACAAGGCAACCTGTTAACTGTTCAGTTCCCCCTGAAGAAAGAAGTTACATGAGTAATATCAGTGTAATTAATGTGAAAGGTGCCTGCTGAAGACCTGTAGTGCTAATGGGATGTGGGATCCCTGTGGAAAACCAGCTTGAGAGTGGGCAGACTCTTGGGTCAGGCTTTTCTGACTTCAGGCAGCCTCACCTCTCCAAAAGTATGAAAAACCTAGGAGGCTGTGCTGACTCCTTGGGATTACTAGAGGTTTGCTAGAGATATTTTACCACCACAATATTCTGCCTTAAGAGACTGTAGTTGCATGGCCAAGGCTACTGAATTGTTTTGGCAAACTCTGGGCTTACTCTGACCCAACAGGCTGCACTGGAGTCTGTGATATTCCACTGACTCCATAGAAGTGCTGCAAAGATTGATCAGTACCTCAAAGGTCCTTTGAAGATGAAAGGCTAATGAGAGCCTACATCTTGCTTCCAATAATATGGAACCAGACTTGGATGACCACAGAAGCTCTGTATAATTACACAATTATCAAGAAAGAAGTCACTGTTACTGTACTGTACTGTGCTGAATTCAGCTGCCTGTGTTATTACAATGTAACACCAATTGCTCCTGCCCTTTAGAACAGATTGAAGTTATACTCCTGAAAATGTTTATTGCTATTTGGAGTGTCTGAAGACACAAATGATATTTTTTAAAATTAAAGTTAGATGTTTTAATGCTCATTTAGCAGTGTAGAGACAAAGCCTTCTTCACGACTGGACTTTGTGCCTGTCTGTGTGATGCAGCACTGCTCACATCATTCAAAAGGCTGAGTATTCCCTTTTGCAATCAATTACTCTCTAAGAGGTCACTGTGATTGACTTCTGGATCACTGATCAGAGTTACGAAGGCAAATGTTAAGACATAAATATATGAAGCAAATTACAGCATTTGCTTGACAGAAAACACAATAAGAATGGCAAGACATCCTCCTACAGTCTCCCTATCTTGCACTCAAACAAAGTTTGTGCCCCAGGTACTGTGACTGTGTCACTGCCCCCACCCATGACATCCATGCCATGTCCATACTCCTCCTGCAGGATCAGGTACAATGGGGAGGCAGCTGCCCGGGAATTAGGAGTGGCCGTGTCCTTATTCCAGCATCCCCATAGAGCTCTGCTGCTCCAGTACCTGCACCCTCCTCTGCACTGGCACCCCGAGCACTCTGGCAGGGATCACACACATGTGCAAATGTTTCTCAGCGTTCCTCGGGCAGCTGGAAGGAGACCAGGAAAATCCTTGGCGGCTCGGGAAGAGATTTACGGCTCTCTCTGTAAGTGCCCTCTTGTGTACACGCGCAATAACGCAGCCCCGGCTCCTGATCCCGCAAGCGGGATACACAGGGAAGCCCCGCACACAAAGAGGGTAAGGTAGTTCAGATACTTAATAGTCTCGATTGCACTTCCTAATTTCTGCTGTTTATGGACCCACTGATACCCTGAATTTATTATTAAAAAATAAATGTTGTAAGCTGGCATGCTTTATTCACGATACAGGGTATTCTCATGATGACACTTGTGTGTGGGAGGCACAGTTACACTTGTTAGCAAGGAGTACCAAGCTGTGGGGCTGGAACTTCCAAGGCTAATACTGTAACATCACTAAAAGGTGACTGAAATTTAATGGACTGAATTGTCCATTAAAATTTCAGACCTTTTGTACTTTGCTGTCTCTATAAATACAGTAGTTGAGGTTACTCACTTCTTTCTTGAGTTCCATACTCTGGTTACGTCGTCCTTTCTTTGCTCTTGGTTCCTGAGTAACCTTCAGCTGTGAACATTGAGAAAAGCATGTTGAATCAACCCAAAAAACAGTTCATGTAAGTGGCTTTCATTGTAACATGACTGATGTGCCTTGTATTTGTGATTATCTGCAATTAGTTAAGGTATCAAATAGAAACGTTAATGAAATGTTCTTACATGAGAAGTGCACACAATAAACTTTCTACATTATCACTGATGACTATGAGTGCACGAAGGAACAAAATTAAAGAATAAGTTCTACCATTCAACATGCACTTGCTAAAATACTCTTAAAAATTCCTTTCTCCATTGCACACACAAGTTCAAACATTTGTTTTCTGAGATATTCCAATATCAGTGACTCATACTTAGAAATCAGATCTTGTTGGATGCCAGAAAACAGCAGTGATTATAAAGAGAATATAAGTATGTAAATATGGTAAAATCATCCAGACTGGATTATAACTGGAGGGGTATGGAACTTCATGCTTTAGAATAAAAGTCAGTCTCGCAGTAGAAACAAGGATGAGATCTAAGTGGATGGTAATTATCTTACAGTGCTTGTAGAGAAGTTCTTATGCCTGCTTTTGAAGCAGGCAATACTAGCTAGTCTTAGTAACAGGATATTGCAGACTACAGCAGAACAGTGAGTTTGATGGCTACTCCTGTGTTCCTGTATCTGGGAAACCAGTAAAACAGGTACAAGCATTAGCCAAGTCAAGGATGAATAGTTGGCATCATAGAGAAAATATGTAAATGGACACTGTGACTGATACTTCTGGAAAAAAAGGGAAAATACCAGTTATCGTTTATTTGTGACCATTTTCCTGTTTTACCAACAGGCTGTTGTATGACAGCACACGAGACTTTAAATAAAGGGGCTACAAAGGCTAAAAACCCCTAAAACCACTTTGATAAGGAACCACCTCCCACCACACACAGAGTTTTATATACTTTTAAGTTTTTAGTTCCAGTTTTGGTGATAGATCTGTTTGACAAAAAGACAAAGGAAGACCAGTTTTTTTGAATACAGACTTAGAGAAAGGATAATGGTCTTAAATGAGGAAAGATGTTGCCAAGGAAAGGGCTGCAAAAAATACAGAGAAGCATCCGGCAAGCTTTGAAAAGTAGTGAATATATAACACCCTCTTGGACAATGAATGATTAGTAAAGATCAGCTATGATAAGGGAATGTCGATGTGGCAATGCAAAGTTTTGGATCTTGGCCATTTGTGTTCTTTGTTAAAACAATGTAATTTTTCTTGTTTTGCAGAATTATTTTTAATTACTTTAATAATTTGCTGGTCATGTGGTCCTCAAGTGCAGTGTTTGCACCTAACTTCAGTTGGACCTGCTGAAAATGTCATGGCTGGTGTTACTTGTGGATCTGAAGGCAGAATAGAGCTCGAAGTGACCATACTCCAGCTGTGAAAAGGCTGAGCAGACACAGGGCTGTCCCTTGATAGGGTTCCAAGAAGGCAGTGTTACAGTCCATCTGATATCTGTGACATTTGACTTGAACATTCCTATTTAACTTTAGAAATCTTGATCTGTCTCATCAAGGTGCAGTACGTGACAAGCGCTTTGAAACCTCATGAAGGTCATCAAAGAAACTGAGGAAAGAGGAAAATCCATATTCTTGCTATTACTGATAGCAAGGTAGGGATATAAGGGAGAAAGGGAGAATAAGTGATAGGGAGGCTAAGACTTTGAACCCTCTTGTCCTCACAAACCTGCAGACAGCACAAGACTAATTAACAGCAGATTAATCAAAACCACATCATCTTTGTACTCCTTAATGAATTGCCCTATTTGCTAATAGTGTAGCAGCACTCACTTGCTCATTGCTAGTGGAAGAGATACTTGACTCTGCCTCCTCTTCCCCTTTGTCCTCATTCTTTGATTTCCAGAATCTCCCCTCACGAAGAAAACGCTGGTGCAGTTCCAGTTCATCACAGGCCTTCTTCCATCCCATGCTGCGCTTCACGTGCAGCCGGTGGATGTTAACTGTGATGTCTTGAATGTTTTCAGAGGGGATCCAGGCCCTTTTGAATACAGAACAGAACAGACAGGCTCACAAACATGAAATACAGGTGAAGGATCTCAACCTGAGAAATTGACTTCAAAAGTAGTTCTTCACAATGGCCAATCACTGACAATTCCTTTTCCACTTTTTTTAAACTCAACACATTTGAAAAAAAAATGGACTGCATACTGTTAGACATTTTTGTTATTATAAATACTCACTAGCTGTTGGTGCTATGGCTAAAAGTCTCTCATTTTTGATGAGCCACAAACCTTCCCCAGCACCTATTCTCTTGCTAAATGCCTTCAGACACAGAAACTTTTTTTTTTTTACTGAATGTTCCTATGTTAATCCAATTCAGCTCTTGACCTCTTTCCTAAAACTGTCAAGGAATGTACCAACTCATCACCTTGAATGGAGACATTTTGTGTCCTGGGCCCTTGTCTACCAGGACTGAACTTCCATGGGGACTGCCATGCTTCTTTGGACTGAATTCATGCCAGTGACATGGTTCCAAAGTTACCTTGTCCACTTATATGTGTTCAGAGACTCCTCAGAGAGTTAGACAGGCAGGTCTGGACATTTTGACAGGTTATACCAAGCACCAGGCAACATTGGACATTGGATTCATTGCCAGGCACATCTGCCTAACAGATTAAATACTCAACAAATGACATGTTTGTGAAAAGATTCTTGATTCTTGCAATATAAATTTAATATGAGTAAAGACAAAGAAGCAATGCCAATTTACACCAAGAGTTTGGCTTTCTGTCCAAGCCCAGCACAGTAACTAAGCAATGGCACTGCAGTTAAACATCCTTTGCCTTTTGTATCAGCATGCATTTAAGAAGTTGCAAGCACCTCATTCCACAGCTGCCAAGATACTTTATTAAATAATTTAAAATTGTGTGAACTTAAAGTCAAAGATAACTAACAAATTAAACTGTATGCATTAACAGATTCAAGGTAAAAACATTCTGTGACTGAGGCACCAGTAAAGATCTTTATAACTCACTTTATAACTATTAGAAAGTTTTGGTAGTTCATATAAAAAGTGAAAAGATACTACATACTGTGCAAGTTACATGAAAGCAATTTAAATAAACAGTTACTAAAACTCTGGTACTGAATTGTCTAGGTCCTTTTGGGATGCACCAAAATATACCATCTCCCAACAACCATGAATTATTTTAGAAATTGTCTCTTCTCCTCACATTATAGGCATATAAATAAAACAGTAAAATAATCCAAACTAGTACATCTACTGTCACACTGCTACAAACCTCCCAAATGCTGAACAACCAGCTGGAGAGAGAACAAAAATATGATCTCTAAGAGACAAGTTTCCAGTGTATAGAGGGATTCTCTGAAATTGCAAACTGGCTCCCAGCAGGAGGCCTGTCAATGTTCTAGCAGTGAGACACAAATATTTGTGATATATATCATGGCACTAAACCACAAAATTGTAGTGCCTCAGCTCAAATGAGAAATTGCCTGAAGTCAATACTGCTGGTAGAAGGAGTACATTTCTGTCCAATTTTCACCTTGGCCTGGATTAGGAGACTGCTACACATTTGAAGAAACAGCTCAAGTTCACTTATTGTCTTTAATTAAAATGGCATTAAGGAACATCCTTCTGGCAACTGTGGAAAGAGAACCTCTGAGCCACTGAATTTGGACACTTCAGATGTGTTAGACTGAAATTTAAATCTTCTGAAACAATCATGGCAGAGTATTCAGTATTTCTAATGTTGGCAACAAGCTGAGCCAGCATTTACAACATGACAGATGAGATAAATTCTTTTAATATTGTTTGTAAAAGGCAGCACATGGAGTTAATAAATTACCTTTGGTGGTGATGGCCAAAAAAGCGAACATCAACTTGATTGTCCTCTTTCTGCATGACTTTGGCTGGCCAAAACCCAAAGCCTTTCATTTTGGCCCAAACCAACTCATGATTAGGTATCTGGAAAAAGAAGTTGTATTTATTAGTGGATATGAAATATTATATTGCTATCTCCCATAAATATTCTGCTGTCATGCTATGCTAGTACCTTAAAAGTATGGTTACTGCTTGTGTCTAGTGCTATTTTCATTTTTATCTTCTTACAATACATTTCCTTGTTAGATAGATTACTTGGATCAACTTTAAAAAAAAACCCAAAACCGCAAAGTCTGAAAAGGGTGTAACTGTCTATTGAAAACAGAGATCTTAAGCAGCCTAAAAATTAACTTGTCTTTCTAGTTTCATTCAGGAGCAAAGTTTTAGTTCTGTAAGCTCCTTATTTTCTTGTGAAACTGTTGTAACTGGATGATACCCAAGTCTTATAACCTATATTGTTACAGCTTTGAACTTCAATCAACACTTCACTTGTGTAAAATATCCAGGCTTACAGAGTCTTAACCATGCTTTTGAAACAAACCCTCTGAAATGGAATATTCAGTGCATTAATGACACCAAAACTGCAGGCTTTCATACAGAAAAGCAAACAAATAAAAATCTGTGTCAGCAACATACACAAGGATAGCAGAACCAATTGTCAGGTCGCGCATTTGACAAATAGAAACAGTTCTTGCAAAGCTGCAGTTCGTCCAGCTGAAAAACAAAAAATGGTAAATAAGCAAAAAAAATCCTATTTATGTGATTTCAGTAGTGTCCCTCTCCCTTAAGTAGTAAAATTTTTTAGCCCTGCTTGCTAATTTGGTGGAGTTACTTCTGCCCATGCAAACTAAAGGTGTGAAACTGAGGTGGGCTGTGTGAGGCTGAAAGACAACCTGAAGAAACATTATTCATGTTTCAGAAAACCCAGGCAGAGGGAGAAGACTAACTGACATATTAATGATCTATTATACATGAAATGCAAAGAACAGTTCTTAAAATTCATCAAATATTTAAAGTACATTGTGAAAGAAGTAATTCAGCTGTACAAAAGGAGAAAGTGTGCCAGCTCCTCAGTTGTATTTTTTGGTCTCCCCTGAATATGGAGAAATGTTTTTATGAGAATTACAGAATTTAGTAGAAATCTAACTTCAGATTCAATTTATATTATTAAGTTATAATAATAACTTACTGAAGTAATTATTTCTAGTACAGATCTGTATTGCTCAATTATTTTTAAAAGTAAAATTTGAATATCAGTGTTTTTAAAATTATCATCTAGTTGCAAAAAAACCCCCAAAAAACCAACAAAACCCCAACAACAAAACCCAACTAATCAACAACAAAAACCTAAAGAAAAAGTAAAAGGAATCCTGAATCAGCTGCTAGAGGAAATGTATAATTTCCTGCTGTCTGGAGGAAATTTATAATTCAATTTCACACGCTTTTTATTTTTTAATATGAAGAATTATTTCTTAGGTTTTGAAATGAAAATGAAGCATCTTGGTTACTACTTGGTAGTACTTACTTCATGGCAGGTGTCTTTGTAAAGCATCCTTGCTATATCAGCTTGTTCACTGTCCGCTATAAATTAAAAATAGATGGTATAAACAATCACAGTATGATCACAGTGCTCACAAAGATTTGCAGCTCTCATTGCTGTGACTTTCATGCTATAGTTGTCATGCTTAAGGACAAAAAACATAACTGAATCACTTGGACAGCCCTTCCATTTAAAATGTTCTAACAATCAGTTCAATATTTGTTTTCTGTGTCATATTTATATGCCACAATACTGCTTTTACACTGAACAATGCAAGTACATATCCAAGGAGGAGCAGCACAGGGAGACACAGTTGCTCTTAGTATGGGTTCAGTTCCTTTCTGTGCTTGTGTCTTAATGTCACACTGCAATTATCCTAAAACATCTCTCTGCTCTGTGCTCTCAGTGCTGCCTCACAGACTGTTTATCACTGAGTCTCCCTGTATTCCTCTTGGCATATCCACATCTGTCCCCAGCAGCCACAGTGTGAATCTCCTGGGCTGCAAACAGACTGGTGCCACTCTCCTCCCAGTCCTCCTGATGATGGGGGCCACGCCTGCAGTGGAGAACCACATTCTTCCTGAGATGGTGGCTCTGGAAAACAGGACCTGGTTACAGCTTCTGGACATGGTGGTGGTGTTTTCTGACTTCCAGTCAGTCACTCTTTACCTTCCCAGTGACTGGCAGATTCTCTGATGGCTGTACCTCCCCACTGCACCAGCAGCACACTCCTGGTGTGGATGTAGCTACATTTGCTGTCACAATATGGCAGATATTGCCCAAAAGTAAAAGAAATATGTCTACAGTACATGTTCCTGCTGACACAGCACAGAAAACCCTACCCTATCCTAGGATAACATATGTATATTGGCAAAAATCTGTAGTATAGACTGACCTAGGACTTTGTTGAAGAAGAAGTAGGATGGAAAAAGTGTAATTCTCACTAAGAGGTTTAGTCAGGGAGGATGAAAATAGTTCAGTAGTAGGTGGGCCAGAAAAGACCCTAAAAAGTCCTTATGTACTTTGATTTTTAAGGGCTTTCTAATTATCTCATTCACACTTAAGACTAATTAATAGCAAATTCATCCTGGACTTGTGAGTTTCCTACAAATAAAGACAAATCAAACAAGGCAAGCAGTAAATGTAGTAATTTACCTCCATAGAAAATCACTGTGTTGTGTAGAAGCAGTTGAGCATCTGCTTTGAACTCCTCATAACTCCTGTACTTTCCTTCATTTACTTTCTACACAAAAGAAAACACAAGACTGTGAGAAAACTCTTCAAAGTGCTCTACCTGCTTTATGCAGAGAAGCTTTCACAGAAGTCTGCATTATGCAACACAGATCAGACATTGCTTTTCCTGCATACAAAAGGAATACTTACAACTCTTTGGTTTGTTAGTACCTGAGCATTGGCTGCCCTTTATACAATGCCCAGAAGTAAAATAGATCCTTTAATACTTGACCAAGTTTAAAAGAAAGATTTTCCTGGCTGCAACAAGATGAAGCTGCAGTAGATGCAGCATAAGGTGTGGCCCAGAGCATTTGTTCAAACTGAAATATGGTCCCTGAGGTGAACATTTTGGACCTTAAAATATCAACTAATTTCAAATCAATGCTGACAGCCTTTCAGGACTGAGCTTCCAGGATCTTCACTTGACAGTCTGTGTTATCTGATGAAAGCTGATTGTCCCAGTCTTCCATCCTCATAAAAAATACCTACATGGAGCCATGCAATTCATTTTCTTAGTATGGCTTTGTCCAATGGGGAATGGAGCGTTTTCAGCTGTGCTCTCTCAAGAACATCTATGACAATTCCAATCATCAAACAAAACAACATCAGCAATGCTATCAAAGCCAAAAGACCTTCTATGGAAGCAGGAGAAGTTGACAGAGTTAAAGAAAGGCCTGACCTATTTTCAGGCCCAACCAGTGTTGCCAGCTCTTCTAGACAGGCAGCAGTGCTGGTCTCCAATACTGTCAGTGAAGCTATTGTTTATTTGTGCATTTTAGTAATAAAACAAAGACTCTTCACATCTGTGCTTGTAAAGGGCAAGATATACCACAGCACTGCCTAGCAATCCAGCTGCAAGAATGAGTAAAGATGAATATGCTGTTTATTATGGTCATGTGCAGTTGATTTATCTGAGTCATGATCAGACTTTTGGCTCAGAAAAAAGGGACAATATATTTATTAGTACTTTATTTTTGGAACAATTAATGCAAAACAGATGTTTTGGGTGAGTCTGGTTTTTCATGATCAACAAAGTGATTGGTTCTTTATGAATCATTTAGATGTTTATAAAGCTGCCACCCACACAAGGGCATAATGACTGAAATCAGAATATGGTCAAAAACACTGGGCCATAGAATCACACATAGGCACTTGAATGTATATTCACTGATTACCTACTTTAGCTACCTGCAGATGCTAATGTAACCTTAGTATAAATACTCTGAAAACCAGGCACCACTGAAAATGGTTTCACTAAATTACCTATTTATGAGGAAAAGTTTGACATGTTAAGCTTCCATATCTAATGCTGGATACAAAACTGAAATACTGATCATAAAGAGAATTAAACAGGATTAGGAATTTTTAGACTTTCACTATTAAAAGACACCAAAACCAGTGTGGAAGTTAGGAAGCAAGTCACTCTACCTCCTGTATAGTAGGAACATCAACAGCTGAGTGCACCAGCCTTCGATACATTGGGTGTTTGTTGTCCTTCCCTTTCTTGTTTAGATCTATAGCCTGAAAGGACCACAAGACAGTGTTTGTTATTGCATTTAGAATCTGCTTCAAACACATTAAAGAGGACTAGAAAATGCAATAGTTTGGAATATTTCAGGTGGGGACTACACAAGGGCAAACTGGGGATCCACAACCCATGAGATTAGGTGTCCCAGACCTGAAAAGTGTCCATGTCAGAGCAGCCACAGGCCCATGGCATAACCTGGTGACACTGATCCAAACCTCAGGGCCTGGTACGTGTATGTGAAAACACACAGAGTGCTTACGACAGGAGAAATAAAAACCACCCTCCTGTCGCCCTCCTTCCTGCACAGTCACAGGGGGGCAGCCCCAGTGATGCTCTGCAGGGCAGCACAGCCCTGAGCAAAGCTCCCTCTGGGACTCACCCGCTCCTTCATGCGGGACACGATGAACCGCAGGTATGTGCTCATCTCTTGCTTACTTGTGTTTTTCTTCTTGATACTCTGCCAAAGAAAAACAGGATCATATTAGTATTTTGAACTTGACTTCAAAATCCAGCCAATAAACATTTTCTCTGCATTAACACTTGATATGAAAAGGTAACTTTGAATCACATAAAGCACTATTTCTTAGGGAAAATATTTTCTGAGAAATTAGTAAGACTAACATGCTACTATGACTACATCTGTTACTTTGAATTATGTATGGGCTGAGAACTTCCGCTATAGAAAAATTACAAGTTTTATTTCCACTTGTATCCATAGTAGTTTGTCAAAACCTCTCATAAAAAAGTGTCTAATTAGAATAAAGCACTGAAGAAAGTCATTTTAGGGAGCAGCTGAAAAATTATTTAATGGTATTTTTATTAGCAAGGCATTAATAATTTTAGTAAAATAAGAAATAATTTTAAAAATAATATCCTGTACCAGCTACAAATTTTATGCTTACTAAGCAAAATGACACCATCTGGGAGGAAGACAAATTGGCTCTAGCCAGTAGAAACTCAGAGCCCTTTTTACTGCTCAAGAAACACAGCAGTCTGGGAGCTTTGTGGTTCTTCCTTAACAAAATTTAATCCAGATTCTGGAACACAGATCACTACTTTTTAGCAGTTCAGGATCCAGAGTTTTTCCCTCTCATCTTAAACTATTATAGAGACCTACCCCACCCTTCAAAGTATAACCAGGCTAGTGGGAAGCCCTGAATACCAAAAATGTGCTGCTAGAGAGAAGGTGTCTCTCTGCAAATGCCTAATGTGCCCTTACAAAGCAGCCTTCCCAATCCCAGCTCACAGCAGCTGAGCACAGCTCTGCAGAGCGCTACAGCAGCTGCCTGCAAAGTGCTACCTCCTCCCTGCTTTCACCTACAGTAGCTCTCCAAAACAAAAGCCCAGTGAAACAACAGCATGGGTTCCAGGTCTGTTATTCTGAAGTGTTTCTAACTGCTCACATCTCCTGCTAGGCATTCACTCTTCCTCACACCTCCTTGTGCACTGCCAGGCTTTCTCCCCTTCTCATGCCTCATTTCACCACTTGTGTGCAAACTGTGTGGACCAAACTGGCTCAATTACACCTGCATCCTCAAAATCTGATGGCCTTTAGCAAGATCCATATAATTGTGAAGATGGTTGCTTAGCAAACACAAGAAAAAAAAAATCCATGTTCTAATATGTAAATAAAAGAGGCTTAAAAATTATCAGTTACTAGAAGTGTGCTATTTTTCATTGAATTACTTATATTTGACTCTGGACATAGGGCTCACAAACATTGAGTACAGAGCACCTGCTTTTACAAATTTACTTGGCAAGAGTAGAATTACACATTAGCACAAAAAAAGCTGATAGGATTTGATTGTGTCTCCCCTGTTCATATTCCTCCTGCAAGACACTGAGGACATTGAAAACCACAAGCTGTTCCCCTGTGCTACAGCTAACTTGCAACCTATACATCTGAGGATTGGACTTACTACCTTTCTTGAAACAAAACTGCAAAGCTGCTCATTTGATTGCTTAACAGCAATTAGAATCATTACAAAATGTGCTGAAATACCAGTTCAGTCACCAACTTACTCAGCACTGCATTGTGCATAACAACACTACAGCTTCCTCCTGACTGGGAAAAACTCTCTCTTGTGGAAAGGGCCAGCTCCAGGTATTTCTAAACCTTCAGTTCCTTCAAGCATTATTTTCATAATATTAATGGTTGCCTGACCTTCCTTCCAAACTCTGGACTGACAGAGAATTTATCCTGCACTATATATCTGAATCACTTTCTGTAATTCATGTTTCACTCTGACTACCAGGAGAAACACGCATTCTGCTGGAATTCAAATCACCTACTCAGTTTCTCATAAACCAACATTGCCACTGCAAATGAAAACCCAAATGTGCATTAAATTATCTGCATTATGAAACACTGCTGTCATTTTGTCATTTCAGGCACTGGAGTGCTGTGTGCTTGCTAATGACACAGCATTTTAAAAGACTGAAACTTATAAGGACACAATAAAACTCACATGCACTGACTAGTCCTGCACCTCTTTTTCTGACATGGCTCTGGAATTTATCATCCTTTGAAAGTATTTCTGAATTCATGTGAACCATTTTTCATGCCCTGCTGGGCAAGACAGTTTGAAAGAGACTTTTGAGATAGATGGTTTACAGTCTTATCCTTGAGATCATAAGAAAAGATAGATAGCTGGCTTTGTATAGTTATTGATGTCAGCAATTAATATCATCTTAAGCACCAATGAAAATGATATAATTAACTTGCCAATTCTGGCAAACTTTAATTTTTCCACTTTTCCTTCAGTTCCCTACACTGATTTATTTTAAGAAAAACTTGATCTCCATGTTCCTCTACTAAATTTTGAAAGGTAATAAATTTAGGGTATTGGAGCCTATGAGCCAGCAAAATGTCTTTTTATGGCAAGGTTGCTCACCCTTTGTAGAAAGCCAGTTACATTTCAAGCACTTCATTCACTTTTCAACAATAATTAGCCATTTAGGAGGTAACATTCACATATTCTTTGGAAGGTATAATGGAAAATGTGTAAGTTTTTAATAAAAAAACCCTCCTTTGTATTTTGAAGACTTGTAGTGTTCTCAGAGTCATCAACCTAGAGCCACTCAAAGCAAGAAAATAGATAATACTAGATGGGGACTATGATTTGCATAAAATCTATTTATATTGCTCTGACACAAGATAATATACCCACTTTCAGATCCCCCTTTATAGGCAGAATGATATAGAAGCAAATATAAATGAAAATTAGGTCTTCCAGTTTCCTACTTTCAAGAAACAAAAACAATGATAGTGGCAAGATCCACTTTCTTTTGTCAGATCTATTAGAGATACTCTCTACTGGAAACCTTTTTCAAGTTCAAGTTTGTTTCAAGGAGACTGCTGAGATTCAATCCAGCCCCCAAAATGTCAGGATCCTTATACTTTTAGATACCTATTTGTGGGATAAGTTATCCTAATATAGGTACAGTTGTACCAGGTCTGACTGGTATGAAAGTAATTGTCTTCACAGCAGCAGGTGCGGTGTTGTGGTTTAAATTTGTGACCAAAACGGTGCTGGTAACACGTGGATGTTTCAGCTCCTGCTGAGCAGGGCTTGCACAGTGCAAAGGCCGTGGCAGATTCTCACTGTGCCCCACGTGAACACACTGGGGAGAACCCGAGAGGTTGGGAGAAGACACAACAAAGCATATTACCTGCACTAAGCAAAGAGTTATTCCATGTCATAGAACCTCATGGTCAGCAATAGAAAGGAAGAGGAGGGGGCCTAGGGAGAATTTAGCCATCCTTAACTCAGGAACTGTCTGGGCACTGATCTGTCCATGAGGGTGAGGAGTGACTGCCCTTGCACCACCTTTGTTTTGTTTTCTTTCTCAGCTGGGAGCTGAAGAGACGTGGGAGTGCAGCCCTGTGGTGCTTAGCTGCCTGCTGGGGTTAACCTGCACAGGGACAACTCCTGTCACACCCCTGCTACAGAGAAATCTGCAAGCCTCCTGCTTTGAATCGAGGTAAACTGAAGGACTTGGTCAGGCCTGTGTGTTTAGACAGGGGATGGAGTGAAGTAATAACATTCCCAACAGCAATCCTCATGTGGAAGATTAATGAGATTTGGCAGGTGAAAGGCCAAGCCTGCAGCCTAACTTCTCTTGTGGGTGCAGGAAATAGCTTCTATGAGCCTTATTCTCTGCAGCACATCTGTTTCTTAGAAGCTGGTACCTAAAGGTTACATTGCTCTTTATATTCAATATTCCAGATTAATTATACTGCCTAGCTGTTCAAGAGGGTAGCTATATATTGCTACTGTGCAGGTGTGACTTATTTAGCAATTCTGGCATGCTTATAGTGCAGGACTTCACTGCAAGACTTTACAAACCACATGAGGCTAGAGAAGCCAGGGGCATTTCCCAGAAACACTCCATCCTACAGTAGCACCAGGGAAGATGGAAGTGACAAACCTCTGCACTCTGAGTTAGCTCTCAACTCCCAGGGTAGCAGTGGCCACTGTGCTGCAGTTGCTTTCTTTCATTTGAAGAGAAAAAAAAAAAGGAAAACTCTAAGAAATGCAAGGTGTCAGTGCCAGCATTCTGTCTAGCTATAGGCATTTAAATTATATTTGCATCGTTTAAAGAGGTTTTTGTTTCCCTATAATCTCCCATTAATGAATATTTTCCCTTCCTCTCTCACCTGTCCTGTGTAAACACACATCAAAGAGCTGTATTTCAATTCAGTGATGGATTATGTGAAGGCTGCTCAATGACAGATACGTGTTTCTAAGGCATCAGTTGCATTTTCAGAACCAATTCAGATTTCCAGGGGTCTATTTGCAGAGGGGAACTATGAGCATGAGTCTAACACACACTCACCACTGCTCTTCAGAAACTTCTTGCTTTACACACTGGCCCCTGGACATTTTTAGGGCTTAAATTGCCAGAGGAATTTGGTGCTACATATGGAAAGCTTTACTGCTCTGCTGCCCTCTCAAACTTCCAACCCTCAGGTCCTCAGGTTTCCTGTACCATTAAGAAAGGTATGCAGGCACATGGAATGGGTCTCAGAGCAATCAATGCACTGTGTGCCCTAAGCGTCACACAGAAAAACTTCTGCAGGAGCAAAACATGCCCTAAGATTTGCCTCTTTCACAATCAGATGCAGTAAAATTAGACTTTTTAAAGCATCAGGTACTTTTGGAAATGTTACAGCTGAATCCACAGATTGATTTCTACATGTATGGTGCATTAAGCACTTTCTGAATATGAAGCTCATATGAATTAAATATGCTTTTATCTGCACAAAGAAGGTGGCAGGAGGCTCTAAGTGGAGCTTACCCAGTTTTCTCACTGCTGTGGACAGATTCCTTTATACTTTATTCAGTATGTCCTATGCAGTGCCCAGCTCTGTCAGCTCCCTGATTTACTCCCGCGTGCCTGGGAGGGACTGGTGAGCAAAAACACCTCACAGGAACTGGTCCTACACTAGGACTGCCCTTTTGCCACCAACCCGTGACTATTATTTGTGTGATCACACCAAATACTGTTTCAGGGACATGTTTCCCCACCCAGGTCTCAAACTCCTACCATAACACTATGAAATAAGCCAAATAAAGCCAGATTCTTTCCTCCCTCCTTGTATTTGACATTAACTACCTTGACTGACAGCTGGTGCCTAAACTCCCCCTGATCCAAGCACTTGAGTAACTTCACTTAAGTAACCTCCATCTTCCTGTGCTCCAAACTTGCCACTGCTTGTCATTCTCACTTGTCAAATTTTGCCTGAAGTTGATTGTGAACTGCATAATGGTTTATTTTTATGTACTCTAGGAAATGCTCAGTACAGTACCAGCACTCAGAGAAAGCCTATCTATAGAACAGATACCAGCACAGTATTTAATATCTTAATCTCTATAGATTACTTTGGTCTCCTATGTATAAACCCCAGGAATATTGGAATACCCACTAGGATAGGTAAATTGGCTATAAGTCCTTGCAAAGAATATGGATGGAAGACCAATCTCTGATGAGATGACTGTAAAAAAATTTAGTAGTCAAGCGAAACCACATGACTAATTCTTCCCTTCTGTTTCATGAATCAAAATTAATTCTCTGTGACAAATGATATATCAAAATGCTTAATTTTGCCTTCTTGTATTTTTTTTTAAATTTGGATTTCTAGACAAGAAATAATAATAACCAGTTACACCAACATTATCAAAATTCTCCTGCTCATAATTTCATATACATCTATTCCCCCTCCAAATAATTAGTATTTTGGCAGTGCTTTTTGTAGTCTTTAGGTGCTAAATTAACAGCTGAAGAAAGTTAATTCTCTTGTTTTATATAACTGAAGAGAAGCAATAAATGTAAAAGTTTCCTACATCCTTCAGAGACTGAGTTGACTAACCCTGTCTGGAATGGATTGTTCCAGTAGTGAAAAATGTAATCTCTAAACTCATTCAATATTAAGTTTTTCTCTTGTGACTTGTCTACCAGGAATTTTGCTGATAACTCCAATTTATTTCACTTAAGACAATGATTAGTCAACAGTCAGGGAAAAATTTCAATCAATGCAATGTGGTTTGAATTGAACTTTGTTTGACTTTTGACTCCTGCTGAGAGTTATATAGGGTACAAAAATATTCAGAGTGGTCCCATCAATTTAAAAAAGAAACAAATTAGGAACCTGACATTGTTGTTTATGGATGCAATGGAGAAAAACCATGAGCAGGCAAACAGTTCAGAACAAGGTTTGAAAGGGATTGTTATAAATTATATGGGAAGAAAATATTTTTTTAAGTTATGAACAAATCCTTAGCAATGGCCTTTATAAAATATTTCTGAGTAGCCAAGTGTGCAAGATAAAGTTGCACTTTATTGATTGATCAAACTAATACAGCCAACAATTGTGAAATGAAAAATCCAAAGGCTTGCTGACCTTGGCAGCACTACAGAAGCAATCTTTACACAAGAATGAAGTGTTCTTAGATTATTTCTCTCAATATATTATGTTTTAAATATACTTTTACTTCACCTTTGTAAAGAGCTTTGAAATCTCCAAGTGAAAAGTGCCATGTCCAGTTATGGAATTAAATATGAAAATATATGTATCTCTTTGTCCCAGCTATCACTTTTCTTGAAGATACTTATTTACTGCTGATAATACAGTGTGAATCCCCATTACCCTCATGCAAGATGGTTAAGCTCTGCTATGCCCTCTGGACATCAGCCAGGGCTCTCTCCACATTATTCGTTTTTTGAATATAGGCCACTTTCTTGCTTTTAAAATGAAATTAGAGCAGTCATTTCCTAGGAGGGTGGGGAGAAAGTAGCAGAATACTGAAGGATGACTACTGACACAAGGATGCTGACTCCCACACTTACAGGGGCTCTGCAAGCCTCCTTAGCCCAAGTTTGCAGAATTAGGGCTTGAAGAGATTTGAATTAATGAAAACAAAAATAGGAGCTGCTGGCACAAGGGGAGAAAGGATACCATGGCATTCACAATATCCATAAAATAGGTTGGTCATCACCTGAGGCACTAAACAAGCCAAAAGCCTCTGGGGCAGGAAGTATTTAAGAATCCCCAAATCCTCTCCTTAACATTTGTATAACAAAAAAGGAACCAATATGCAGAAAGATAGGCAGAGAGCACATGGCTCAAGTTTCACAGGATTTTTTTTTTTTTTAAGGTAAACATTTGTTTAATATCATTGCCATAAAGGACTTCAAGGCTTCATGGTGAAAGTCAAACTGTTCTCAAAGCTGATGTATCAGAGCATATTTCAAGCAATGATTCAGCATTTCCACTCTGAGGACGTCCATGGTACAAGGCAGATGTTATGAAACCACCTCATACACAAGGTGGCATAAACCATCCACATTCTCTGCCTTCACCAGGCATCATCTAAAATTCCTGGCAAACTGGAGTGAAGACTGAATGCAGTTTACCTAATTTTAACTATTTATAGGAATAATCAATACTTATAATAAGACCCAACAATTATTAAAGAGATTTATTTAAAAATCTGAAAGTAATTCACTATATATGGTCATACTTTTTGTTTTTAACAGAGGGAATATTGAGTAGCTAAATTAAAGGCTAGAAATTCAATATGGAGAGATACAATATATGTCTTTATTCTTAACAGTTTTTTTCCTGCCACTACTTCTTTTTCATTACTTTCAGCTTCCTTGAGGCAGGCCTGAGTTTCTTACTATTTCTCTAAACCCTGAGAGCTCCCAATCTGAGGCAACAGCAACAGGTTTTGCGGAACTCGTGCTAAGGTAACAGCAGTCAAAAAGTGCTGTTTTGAAACAAAACAATCCACATGTTTTCAACAACTGCTTCCCCATCCCACCGAGTGCCTGAAACCTTACATTCCTTGCAGCACAGATCATCCTGAGGTCAGTCTGGGGCTCTACAGCTAATCCAAGCTTTTAGCAAAGGAAGTGCCTCTCTCTCCAGCAATCCCAGGCAGAGGGGAAGTGGCAGTTTTATGCCTTTCTGCAGCAACAATTTTATCTGAAACATTCATATGCATGATTCCTTCCACAGGAAGGGAGACTAGCTCTGTAGGAAGCCTAGTGAAGTGCTCCATCTGAGGAGGTGACACAGAGATGACAACAGCAACAGGTATTTGGCTGATTCAAGGCTAGGTACCAGTAAGCACCATCCTGACCAGAATGTTTCATCTTCTAATGACATGTAGACAACATATCTGCCTATTCTTGGAAAGTATACAAGAAATGCTTCTTGCTGTCTCCCTGCCATACTCATAAGAATAGCATTTTTAAAGAAAAAGCAATATAGATATGGATGCCATGAATGAAATCCAGATTGCCCTTTTTGCATCAATAGAATCCACATCAGTAAATGAAAAGCAGGATTTAACTCCATATTTTTGATACTAGCCTCATCAGTAACATGATTGTGGCTTTATATTATAAAATACCATTCCAATAAAATATTAAGAATGCAAGTCATCAAAATACAAAAATGATTCATTAAAACAACATTAAGTAAAAACAGTAGCATCTCATACAGCAATTTGTTTACTCTTGTTGAAGGTTCCCACACTTTACTGCACTCAGGTGCACACACTCTGGCACAGGGTACTGTGCAAGTAAAACTTGCTGGAGTCTTCAAAAACAGCCATCTGCTACATGCACCACATTTTGGTACCTCTGTACAGATGCTCTAGGTATATGTACCATCATTTCAATGTTCAGTTCTTTACCCAATAACCTGGCCAGACCATCTGGACACCTTCATAAATCTATTAATGAATATCAATCCTCTAATCAGCACATGAAATCTCATAGGTACTCACCCTGCAAACTGGGCACTGCCAGTGACTACTGCTGTCTCTAAGCCTGAACTCATCAGACAAACACTTGGAATGATACACACGAAAACACAGGTCACATATCAACACCTCTCCAGGCAAATGGCATTCAAAACAATACCAGTCATGATTTTCTGTTTCCCAGTCCTACAAAAAATACAAAATATTTTGGTATGACATTCTGTCAAAATCTGCAGGAACTAAGAACAAAATTGATATGTCTTGAAATCCACCAGCAATTAGACATTATAAACATTTTAAAGAAGTGTATAATGTTTAAAAAACAGGGGAAAACCTACGTGCTTAAAGATCTTCATCAATTGAATACACACTAACTCCAATAGACTATGAATGCCAAGTTTTAATTTTTTCAATTGTCTGATTAGTTACAATTTCAAACATGAGCTCTGTCCACAATGAAAAGTGGGTTTGTTTTCTACCTTTGTGTAAAACATTTGTTGACCTCTCTGTATTAGATTGCAAATGAAAGTTTGTGCACCTCAACAGACCATACCTATTTTCTTGGACTATTTCACTTAGTTTGATTGTTACATTATATTTTTAACTGTAATTTTCTGAAGGGTGGTCCCTTCCAGTCTTTACTCTCTTAAAACTGACAACTTTTCAGCATCAAAGTGTCGAGTTACAAGAAATAAATGAAATCATGAACCAATTACTTCAAGAAATGTTTCTGCTAAGCAATCCCAATGCAATTCAAAACATATAAAATGTTTCACTTGCCGTGCTCAATAGCACCGGGCTCGTTCCTGAAATGTTCTGCAGTAGACAAAGGATATGGTTCTGCTGATGCACAGGTGTCTTTAATATACTCTTCCTTGAAAATTCACCCCCAACGGCCAAATTCTGACCTTTGAAACATGTGCACAAGCTTTGCTGAAATAAATGAGAGCAGCATGCATATAATTTGGAGGCAGAATTTTGCTCTAGGAATCAATAGTTCTAAAACCAAGTAGAATTGCCAGTGGCCACTGTTAAATGTTTATGTTTGTTATCTGAAATGCCACAGTTTTCTCTACACTTAGAAGAAAAAAGAGCTGTCATATCTCAGCTAAAACTCCCAATGCCTTTTCATGTCAAATGTCACTTTTCAATGGGTTCAGATCTCTGAAAAAAACTATCCCTATTCTTCAATAAATTATCTTGATAAAAATCTGATCAAGCTATTTTTAATGTCATGTTGTAAAGGTGGAGTTAGCAATTCCCACCGACTGCCAGAAGTGGCATTTGTCTGACTTTCCTTACTCTGTGCCTGGGAAGTGCAGTCCTTGTGTGAGAGGTCTCCTCAGCGGAGCAGCGTGAGAAGCGCCACGCTCAAGTGGCACTGCCAGTCCCTGGTGCTGCAGAGCGGCCGTGCTGTGCACAGAACTCATCTGAACACAGCCCCCATCAACACAAGAGATTTGGGACAGCCCCAACCCAGACTGCCTGCACTAAACTTGATGTACCACGAATGTCGGATTGCAGGGCTAGCAAGTTTAGAGGGAGGGGAAAAAAACACCCTATGGAATCTTAACCAGTGATTTTTGAACTCAGAACTTTGCCCTCCTTTGTTGTGCAGATTAACAGTGTAACTTGACCTTTTGTCATTTCTCCTCATTTCATTTTACTGGCAAATTCTGTATACCTCAAAATGGCATAACACCACCAATTTTGGCTAAAAGAACACATTCTTGTTTCACCAAATCTTTCCCCTTCCAAAGTCCAGTGGCTGTGTACTTTGGGAGCCCTTTCTTTAGGATATTTTGTAAACAACTAAAGATACTGCATTGTTAGTGTATTTGATTTGCCTGTAGACTGAGAGAAATCAGGATAAAGTAGTGTACTTCATTAATATTAACTGTATGTAGGAAATGAAAAAAAAAGAAATCAGGTGGCAGTAAAGGGCCCATCAGGCAAGAAAAATAATCAGTTTTGGTTGAATATATAGTTAGATAAAAATTAAACTGAGAAGACCCCAAGAGGTCCTGCAATTTCACCACAGAATCAGGATTCCAAGATTCTTAATTTTTGTTTGCACTAGTTACGTATTTGTATCTCCCAGATATTCCATTGTTAAGAAATATGCTGGCAAAGAGATGTGGAATTTCATAAACATACGGAAATATATTTGCTGGCAAGAAAAACCATACACTGAAGCCAGAAACCATGGCGTTAAATAAAACAGCAGAAAAGGCTGCCTTCAGTATTCACACTGTAAAGTTTTGAAAACCTCATTATTTCTAAATACAAGGTTTCTCACATAAAAAAAAGTTTTAGTTTAATGCAGTATATTTAGTGCATAAGTATACATAAAACAGTCATTTGTGTAATATATTTTAAAAGCTAGTAAAAAAAAAAAGATTTAAAAAGGTACATAACCCTTGTGTGGACAACTGCCCTATTGACTTCAACAGCGAGGTCAGAGGCATTAATTTTCCTCCAACGGCAATGCTGCTTATTGCTTCTCTCGTTTCACCTAAGTGTGAATGGGAGGGGAACGCGCTCCCAGCAGTGTATCTGTTTATTTACTCCCTTATTTTCATGCAGGAAAAGGGATTGGCGTGGCCGTGCCCGGCGGGTCGGGCCGCTCCGGCAGCCGCGGGGCTGCAGTTCCCGCCGGCGCCGCCGGGTGGCGCCGGGCGCTGCGGGAAGCGCGGGGGGCGCTGGGCTGGGGACGGGGTGGCGCGGGCGGCGGTGGCGGCGGAGGGAGCGCTACGATAGCTAACGGGGGACAGAAATAGGAAATATGACAGAATGCAAAACCACATAGTGCAAAAATTGTTCACCTTGTTTTTTGCTGCTGTCTGGGAAAAAGGCTGCATACCGTAGGCCTTTCAAAATAAAAACAAAACAAACTTTGTATCTATACTGTAAGCCATCTGATTATCAGGATATACACAAGGCTAGAAAGAATTCATGCACAGTGACCAGGAAATCAATCTGTTAGTTCTAACTTCTGGTTGCATACATTTCCTCCTGCATTCCTGGAATGCTACCTGACACTTTCACCACATTTTATTTCTTTAAAATATCCCACGTACTTATATGATTAAAAGAACCCAATACCCATCATTCTTATCCATATACACACCCACCACCAGGCCAATTTAAAAATCATCAAGAATATTAATGATTGTTAATTAATTCACTCTCTTTGATACATAAAGCTTCTGTGGGCATCTAAAAAAGATCCTTCTAACATAATAGGAAGCTGCCCCACCAAAAGCAAAGCAACACTTTTGCTGTATATCATTCAAAGGTCAGGCTATCACTTTATCAATAAAACTCACAGTCCTTGTTTGTGTATAAAAGGTGATACATTTTCCCAGGCTGAGGAGGGATCTCAGCCACAGGGACTGAGATTCCTGTTGCAGGGCAGGGAAGGGCTCCCGGGTCCCTGAGCCGCAGACACGGGGATCCTCTGCCCAAATTCAGCGGCACCAGCGACCGGCCCCGAGAGGGAGCGGATTTGGCAGCAAAGCTGCGGGACTCGGATCCCACGGGAGACCTTCCCCTCGTCCTGCCCAGATGCCCGCTCATTGTGCACCTATGCACCAGCAGGACAGCAGGTGAGGTTGGGGCACTGTGTGTGACAGCCAAGGAGCTGCGCTCTGTTAAGCAGAGCGGGGTCTTGCAATCATATGGGTCACACGTGGTCACTTGCTCTTTATATTCAAATCTGTCAGACATTATATCATAAAGGTCACTTTGCACTGACATAAATAGCTGAGATTCACTCGGCAACATGAGTGAAGTACTGCAACAATTTAAAAAATACATCTTAATTCATGACCGGCATGTAAGCTTACTTTTCTTTGTCATTTGTCTTAAGTAGGTTGTCTTAAAGCAAATACATACATCTATTCTGGAAGTACAGAAAAATAATATGGGATAGAAAATGTCAGGCTATCCAGAGCATTTGACAATTTAAATACAGATAAACCCAACAGAAAGGAATGAATCATCATGTCGTAGCCTTTACTGTAAAATAAAATACATAGTTGTTGTCAAGGAAAGAATAATTTTAGTGCACAAAGAAAATGTCCATTATAATGCAAATGTACATGGAAAAGAAATGCTTACTCATTAGTAATGGAGATTTACTTAGCTGTAATTGAAATAGGGAATCTGTATGTTGGAGAATGTGACATCCTGCTGTACAATTAGCATACCATTAAGTAGGAGATGTGAAGCACATACTGACAGTAAAATTAACAATAACTTAGAGGTCACAATTGTAACTATTAGGTCACTTCCATACCACAGCAAGCCCGTAATTAATGTAAAAAAAAAGATGTTAAAACAAGTAATAAATTTTCATTTTCATATAAATTATATGTAGGTATAACACATGAAAACAGTAAAACCTCCTTTCTTAGACTTCGTCTAAAAGGACCACTTTGCCTTTTTATAATGCACATTCCATTAACATAGCTCATTTCTTACCTGTTAATCTGTTTTCTCCAAGTCCCTTAATGGTAGCCCAGATACTCGGTATTAAGTCACTCTACTATCAGGTGGAGAGAGGAAAAGGGAGGGGGGAAAAAAGCAAAACTCTATTCATGAAACTCCCCCTTATGGGGATTTGCTGGTTTCACACAGTTGAACTGGATTTCCCAAACAATCCAAATTATGGATATCCTTTGGACCCATCCAGTAAGCTAAAAAAAAGGGTCACATAGATGGGAAAGACAGTTATAAGTCAGTTACCCCTTTGGCATGATCATATTTATTTAGTAATAAAATACATACAGTTCTGTTGTCCTAAATTCACTATGAAGAAAATGAAGGAAATCATTTCCCATGGAGTTCATGGTTCCCAGCATTTCCTGTGCGGCAATTGTCCCATAGCACTCTTTCCACTTTCACCCCCCCACAAATGTTCTGTTTTTAGTGCTTCTCCAGCATTTTTTTACATGTGTGCTGCTGTGGTGTCCCCCTCTCTCTGCCCTACATTCCTGCACACACAGCTCCTTCCAGATCACTGGATTTTCATTCACACCCACCTGTGCACAAACTCATTGTCAGCCCTGCATGTTCTCTATGCTTTAACAGTCCCTAGAGCTGCTCAGTGGATAAGAAACTTAGAGCAGTTTTTCATTAGTTTAAATGAAGAGTATTAGCAGATACACAATAGATTTCACCCACTGTGGAACACTTTTGGTCAGTCACAGTGGTGGAATCTAGAATAGCAACGAGGTCCATGCCAGCAGACAGAAGTAATTTAAAAATATAAATTATTTAAAAATAGTAGTATTTGCATGCTACATTTATTTCAAGTAATTTTCATCACCAGCCCAAGACCTTAGTGTAATCCTTCCCATGACTATTTCATAACCCTTTAAAGAATGTCAATAAATGAGTTCCTACTATTTCTTAGATTCCCATTTCTTTAACATATAATGAGATAGGCCATGCCCAATACAATTTCTGAAGCAAATGTTCTGGATTTTGATATTTTAGGATTTGGAAATAGCCATAAAGAACACTTCCATCTCTTCTCACCTAAAGCTCTAAAATCAGAGTATTCCCCCCTTCAACTAAGAGAGAAGATTTTAAAATCTTGGGTTCTGACATCAAGGTTTCTTTGCTGGCCTTCAATAACTCTTCACCGGAACCCAACAAAATTGACTACAAGTCCATATCAAGTAGAAAGATACACTGAAATAAATGTCTCACAAGAATGATGCTCTTTTTTTCACATCTTCGATTTTGCTTAGGTTTTGCAACATGTATCTATCATCATCTGCTGTTGCGAAGTAATTTCTATCTTCACTTAATCTTTCATATTTCAAGCTTTCTGCTGTAAATTAAAAGCTTTTATTATATAAGAAGTGATGGTACTGCATTCTAGCATGGATGTATCTACCATTTCATTACTCTCCTCTGGTATCTGGGTCCCCTCCCCTCCTCAAGAGGACTCAGAGTATGCTGCAGGAACCTATGCCCCCACCCACATTAAACAAAGCAGCATCTATTTCTGTCTGAAGACATTTTCCATTCTTAATAAATCAGTTCTTTTCTGTCTTTTTCAGGCAGCATCTGCTCCATCAAACCTTTCTCAATTAGACGTGAGCATTACTAAAGGTAATTGCTAAAACCTTGCAGTTCATCTTTATGACTCACGACTATCAGGAACCATGGTGGGGGTGCACTACCTGTGAGACTTCTGTCCTCCAGTACAAAGCCTGAAGAAATGCTTCTTACTCCTACATTTGCTGCAAATAGCTACTGCCCACTTCATTTATCTGTTTTGTACTTCTCTCATGGTGTAAATACTGGAATCCCTGCCAATCACAAAAGGCAACCTGAAGCAGGCTTGGACAGGAGCATCAGGATTGTCAACAATCCTGATGAGCTGCAGAAATGCAATACCAGCATTTAGCTCAGCTTTGAAAATGCCTCCCTTTGCTCATCTATCCACTGCTTCTGCAATTCTGTTCAACTTCCAAGCAACTGCTCTGTAGTAAGAGGAGTTGTACAAAGTGTGGCTGATTATCTGTAGAGCTGCAGAGATGAGAGCCTTACCCCTTCTTTTTTTTTTCACAAGATGGTAGGTGCACACTGGCCTCTATTTTAAACAGGCTCTATCTATCTCAATGAGCACAGCAGCCAGTAAGAAATCTCCAGCTTATCAGGGGTCTCTGGCATATGTACTGGTTTCCATTCAGAGATCAGCATGCAGCAAGTAATACCTGGGTGGAACAAACATTATTTGTCATGGAACATCATTCCCAGTGTTTTTTCAAATGCAGTGGGGACACTGTGTGTGTTTTCCAGCAGAAGCCTTGGTCTGCTGTGTGGGCAGCCATCCTACTGCCCTTTGGTCAGTCTTCTCTTCGTGCCACGTCCCTGGCTCCATCTATTCTTTAGCAAGCATGAATCCTCCTGTAAACATCCTTTCAGTAGCCTACAGGATCTGCTTTTATCTTTTCATCAGAACAATGATGAAAAGGTTAGGCTTCAAACCGAGGAAGGTGTGATTAATTCCTTGATGGCTCAGAGGACTTACTCCATCTTTGCAGCAGGTAAATGGTGAGTTAGCTGTTTAATAAAGTATTTCCCTTTCATCATTACTGTAAAGGGTCTATATTTGATCAGGACGATTGCTTTCCAATTATAAAAGTTTCTTAGATCATCACATGTTTTACATTTAATGCTAGAGCAATGCTTTGGGTTAAATTCAGAACCAAAATAAGCTTATTTTCTCCCTGCAGTTTTTCTGTATCCCTGTGTTTACTACATATATTTCTTCCTGTTTTGCATCTATGTTTTTCCTACTGCTTTGCATCTATGTTTTTCCTACTGCTTTTGCTCATCTAAGGAATTAACAAATAAACAAGCATCCATCTGTCTTCCAAAGCCAAAAAGATTTCAGCAGCTAGAATCCTTTTGTGAAAATTGTTTCACTTTATCTTTTCCTTCTTTTTCTGGAAAACTACTACAGCAGGTAGCTACAATATGTGCTTTTACAGACAGGATAATCTACCCATTCAGATCAGTTGCCTTTATGGATTCTCTCCTTCTCTGACCTGGGCTTTATCTTTAAAATGGATTCCCATAAATTGGCCACTTTGGAGGTACTCATTATACATATTTTATCACAAAGAAATCCAAAATAATCATGAATTCATATGTCCTCATAACTACTGAGGCATCGTGCTTTCTTTCAAGTACATTTATTTATTTAGTTGTTAATTATGGCCAAGGTTTTAGCAATCTCAGCAATTAATTGGAATTTCTTGTTTTACATGGTTTTTAAATTCTCTTATTTCAGAAACCCTTTATATTCTAAAAAGAACCAACAAAACCATCAGTTAGGGGAGAGATC